GAATTCATCATACTCTCGAGAGTTTGTTCAAAATTATGATGGTATATATTAAAAATTAGTCTCAGAAATGAACAACTTATTTTCACCAAGTATGATTGTTTGCACTGAAGATAATGTTCGAATTCCTAGTCAAACATAAGAACATCACAATAATGTGAACGCATAGTGAAGCGAACTTTTAAAGCTAAGAAAAGCACCTATGTTATGTAACTAATCGTACTGACGGAATAACGTATTATATAGTAAGAAACAACTCCGCCTGTAGCTCCTCCAGGGGCTACTGCCGGTCCCAAGCCCGGGTAAAGGAGGAGGGTTGGGCATGGGGTTAGCGACCCCATCCCGTAGAAAATCAACTCGCTAAAAAAACGCTAACCAGAAAAAATCATTCAAACCATTCAAACTCTGCCCTGGGAGTAGAAGGAAAAATGACGTCTCATGATGAAAGCCGAGTTCATTCGGAAGTCATGAGGCCGATGCACCTTCTTACAACCAGAGCGACAATTTTTATAGGTACATGGAATGTCCGGACAATGTGGGAGACCGGCAGAGTCTTCCAAATTTCTGCGGAAATGAGGAAATACAACCTGGAAGTGCTTGGAATCAGTGAAACACATTGGACGCAGGTTGGACAACAACGACTGTCTTCAGGGGAACTTCTGTTATACTCCGGTCATGAAGAAGAAAATGCCCCACATACACAAGGAGTGGCACTGATGCTGTCTAGAAAAGCACAAAATGCACTTATAGGATGGGAATCTCATGGACCGAGGATCATCAAAGCCTCCTTCAGAACAAAGAGAGAGGGCATTACAATGAACATCATCCAATGCTATGCGCCGACCAACGACTACGATGAAGACGCTAAAAACCAATTCTACGATAGGCTGCAGTCAATCTTCGAGAAGTGCCCAACCAAGGACCTGACCATTCTAATGGGAGATTTCAATGCCAAGGTTGGAAAGGACAACACTGGATACGAAGACGTCATGGGACAATATGGACTGGGAGGAAGGAACGAAAACGGTGAGAGATTTGCAAACCTATGTGCCTTCAATAAACTGGTCATAGGTGGCACCATATTCCCACACAAAAACGTACACAAAGCCACTTGGATTTCACCGGATCACACTACACAGAATCAAATCGACCATGTCTGCATCAACAAAAAGTTCAGGAGGACGATGGAGGATGTGAGAACCAGAAGAGGAGCTGATATAGCATCCGATCACCATTTGCTGGTCGCCAAGATGAAACTAAAACTCAAGAAGCACTGGACAATGGTGCGGACAACATCACAAAAGTTTAACACGGCCTTTCTTCGAGATGCTGACAAACTCAACGAATTTAACATAGCCCTCAGCAACAGGTTCGAGGCCTTTCATGACCTACTCAATGGAGAGGGAACCACCATAGAGAGCAGCTGGAAAGGTATCAAGGAGGCAATCGTTTCAACATGTCAGGAGGTTCTGGGCCAAAAGAAGCACCATCACAAGGAATGGATCACTGTTGGTACACTGGATAAAATTGAAGCAAGGAGGAACAAGAAGGTAGCAATCAATATCAGCCGAACAAGAGCAGAAAAAGCCAAGGCACAAGCCGAATACACAGAGGCAAACAAGCAAGTGAAGAGGAGCATCAGGACCGACAAACGTAAATATGTGGAAGATTTAGCGATGACAGCGGAAAAGGCTGCAAGAGAGGGAAACATGAGACAACTGTATGATACAACAAAGAAACTTGCTGGAAATTACCGTAAACTAGAAAGACCAGTGAAAAACAAGGAAGGCAAAGTAATCAACGATATTGAAGAACAACGAAACAGGTGGGTAGAACACTTCAAGGAACTCTTGAATCGACCAGCTCCACTGAACCCACCCAACATCGAAGCAGCACCCACAGACCTCCCAATCGATATTGGCCCACCAACAATTGAAGAGATCAGCATGGCCATTAGACAAATCAAGAGTGGCAAAGCAGCGGGACCAGACAACATCCCGGCAGAGGCACTGAAAGCAAATGTAACAGCAACTGCCAAGATACTCCACATCCTCTTCGGTAAGATTTGGGACGAAGAACATGTACCAACAGACTGGAAAGAAGGACTTCTCATCAAGATACCAAAGAAAGGCGATCTGAGCAAGTGCGACAACTACAGAGGCATCACTCTCCTCTCAATACCAGGAAAAGTCTTCAACAGAGTATTGTTAAACAGGATGAAGGATTCCGTGGACGCTCAACTTCGAGATCAACAAGCTGGATTTCGTAAGGATAGATCGTGCACAGATCAAATCGCAACTCTACGTATCATTGTGGAACAATCAATCGAATGGAATTCATCACTGTACATCAACTTCATCGACTACGAGAAGGCATTTGATAGCGTGGACAGGACGACACTATGGAAGCTTCTTCGACACTACGGCGTGCCTGAGAAGATAGTCAACATCATACGGAACTCCTATGATGGACTAAACTGCAAAATCGTCCACGGAGGACAACTCACCGACTCGTTCGAAGTAAAGACCGGTGATAGGCAAGGTTGCCTACTCTCACCCTTTCTCTTTCTCCTGGTCATCGACTGGATTATGAAGACGTCAACATCTGGAGGAATGCACGGGATACAGTGGACAGGCAGGATGCAGCTTGACGATTTAGACTTCGCGGATGATCTGGCTCTTCTATCACAAACGCAACAACAAATGCAGGAGAAAACGACCAGTGTAGCAGCAGCCTCAGCAGCAGTAGGTCTCAATATAAACAAAGGGAAAAGCAAGACTCTCCGATACAATACAATATGCACCAATCCAATTACACTTGACGGAGAAGCTTTGGAGGATGTGGAAATCTTTACATATCTGGGCAGCATCATTGATGAACACGGTGGATCAGATGCAGATGTGAGGGCGCGGATCGGCAAAGCAAGAGCAGCATACCTACAGTTGAAAAACATCTGGAGCTCAAAACAATTGTCAACCAACACCAAGGTTAGAATTTTCAATACAAATGTCAAGACAGTTCTTCTGTATGGGGCAGAGACGTGTATAACTACGAAAGCCATTATCCAGAAGATACAAGTGTTTATTAACAGCTGTCTACGCAAGATACTTCGGATCCGATGGCCAGACACTATCAGCAACAAGTTACTGTGGCAGACAACAAACCAGATTCCAGCGGAGGAAGAAATCAGGAAGAAGCGCTGGAAGTGGATTGGGCACACTTTGAGGAAATCACCCAATTGTGTCACAAGACAAGCCCTCACATGGAATCCTGAAGGTCGAAGGAGAAGAGGAAGACCAAAGAACACATTACGCCGAGAAATAGAGACAGACATGAGAAGAATGAACAAGAACTGGAAAGAACTAGAAAAGAAGGCCCAGGACAGAGTGGGTTTGAGAAAGCTGGTCGGCGGCCTATGCTCCATTGGGAGTAACAGGCGAAAGTAAGTAAGTAAGTAAGTAATAGTAAGAAACATTTTTATTTGCAAAAGTGATGTGATTCATATATTTAAAAAATGGCACGATTGAAGCACTTCTTTGCAATACAATAATATCTGTTATTAGTAAGTTTTGCTTTTAACTTCAGTAGAATAATTTATGCCTGAAAGTAATATAATCTCAAACATCTGGGGATTTATGTATTAAGAGGTTTTCATTTTTCCATTGTGTGTATGTGTATCTTGATCAAATCTCCTTGATATTACCTTTATTCAAAGTTTTGAGAAAGATCAACAGATTGAAAACTTAAACTCTTGCATGTATAACTTTGTACCTGTTAGTTGAACTCAGTAAGCCAGTGGTAACACGTTATTGTCTGGAGAAAAAGCTGCTGGGCTATAGTGTCAGTGTGCGTGTTAATACTTGGATACGTATACATACAGGTGACAAGTCTTAGATAGGGCGAAACTCACCTTCTAGATCAATCCGCTGACCACACCTTAACTTTACCAAATCTGGACATTTTTTGAAACTGATTTGCAAATAAATGGCCTTAGTAAATAAAATAAAGTCGGCCGATCGCAATAATCATGAGAATATTGAGAAAGTGTTTAGTGATTTTAGGAACGACAAATTTAACTAACCGAATTTCGGTCACGTGAATACTTGGATTTCAATGGTCATCATACAATAGGTTAACAAGTATGCTCAATATTTATATAATCAACCAATAGTGCATATTTAAGTACAAGGATTAAAGAAACATTAAACAGATTAATTATCAAAGCATTTATGGTAAAGTTGAGTAAATACTTGACCATCTACTTTTATTCTTCTTACCTAACGTAGTATCTTGTTGATAGAACATGATTTATTTGTAGTTTATGTTACGTTATTTATATGAGTACATATTCATATTCTGTGGTAGAGTCGTTGTAAATGAATTGACAGTTACCTAAAAATTATTAGATGAATCTCGATTCAAATGTATTAAAGTCAGTATTCTGATCACAACAGTATGAAAAGTCTACTTTGACTCTCCTTAGTTGAAGTATTTATCTGATTTATATATAGTGTATATCTTTTGTCCATTGATGAACACTTGAAAATAAATATAAGGATGAAGCTAGAAAATACACATTTTGCATGAAAGTGATATTATACAACGTATTACCTAGTACCATGCTATTCATATGGTACTATAAATTGACTATGATCTAAAAATAGTCGTGGTAAGATAATACTCAAACCATTATGTTTATTACAACTATCTACTACAACCTAAGGATAGCCGTAGAATAAATAGACTCAAACAGATAAGTTAAAGAATGTTCACTGATTTTCACTTAGATTTATTTCTTTTTAAACAATCATTCGACTGCCGACTGAATATTTTATTTTAACATTCAACTATTTTCCGCTAGTTATTTTAAAATAATTCTGAATTAAAATTTTTAAACTAAGATTGGTAACAATAAATGTTGGTGGAATAAAAGTACAATTTTAAAATAAGTGTAAAAATCACAAAAACGTATATATGTATATATATGGGAGTATTGAACTCACATGATCGGTTGCCATGACAATACTATTTTCCTCCTTATCACAATTGTTTAGAATAGTCTGCTTATTATAATTCTGACCATTATATGCAACCTTTGGAATGATATCCATATTGGTAATTTTTAATGTAGAAAAGTTCTCTGCCAAATTCTGTGATCTTTCATATTCTAGAAAAAGTTTATGTTTAATTTCACGAATTCGTTCCTTTTGTTGTTGATCTATTTGCTGTTTACAGTTTAAAAAAGATGATCATTAAACAAGTATGTGTATGTATGTGTGGGTAAATGAAATGAAAAACTAAGGAATCAAACTATTATTGAATGGGCAGTTGATAATTTAGTTATTCGCCTCAATTGAATTATTTTTGTTTATTGAATCAAGAGAACTAGTTTATTATCTGTAGTGTTCTTTTTTTAATGTCTTCTTGTCAAGTGGATTAGCGATAATCACTAACAATTTTGTGATTCTATACTACACTATGTATTCTTCATTGAATTGAATGATATCTCAACGGTCAACTAATAGTTCGATTATTTGATCGTCAAGCACCATATTATGTACTCAAGACCAGATACGTTTTTACGTCGAAGTAAATATCCTATAGGTAAGATTACATGAAATCTCTAAAGGTATTGTGGTTTCCACTAAAGGATTTCAAATGCCAGGGTTAATTAGAACTATATGTTCTATAAATTTGTGACTGACCAATTATTTATTAAAAGAAAGAGTATGATGTTCATTACATAAGCACACCTAAATCTGAAAAGATCACATCATTAATCACTACTCCCTTCCGTATTATTTCATTTAAACAGAAGAAAATGAATATTTTGGTAAAGTACTGAACAACTGTAAGTTATCACGAGATCAGTACCACTCGCTAAATGGATAACGCGATGGCGTTTGAAGCTAACGGTACTGCGTTTGAGTCCTGGAGTGAACATCAACTCTGGTAAGCATGTACATAGGACGAAACGTACATCCTGGATTCCTTTGCTAACTACTATCCATCTTTGTTTATAGTAACTCACATTGTAAATATAATGTCATAATATACCTACCGTGAGAGTTGAAAAGTCTAAACGATGCAAAATTTACAAATGTAATCACCTAAGTAAAATTTTCAACTTTCCTATGAAACAATCTTATTTCAGTAAGTAAATATTAAACCAAATCTATTTTGAAGAAAAACTAGTAGTATTATGATTAACCAGTTAAATTTGATGCTATATATATTCATTAGAATAAAAATCAATAATTCGATAGTGAAGCTTACCTGTGCTTCACACATATCATTCTTCGGTCTTTCACCAAGTTTACACAACATTTCTTGCTGACGTCTATAGCCGAAAGGAAAAACAGAACATCCATTTACATCATATTGTAGATAAAATTATATATATATATATAGTTGATCTTATGAAACTAATTCGTTAATTAATTAATAAATAAGAAAGGATGAATAATTACCATTTTTCATGATTATTCTACCATAAAATGAATCGCTTTTTCAAACTAAATACTAAAGATCATACGATTAATAGAAGTAGATTAGTTTAAACGTTTATTCGCTTGTATTTTAACAAATAATTGAATTACGAATTGTTTTTCATAAGGAACAGTTATTGTTCAGTTATTATTCAACTAACGAAACTTGATGGATAAATTGTAATTTTAAAGTTCAGTTTGATGAACCAAGAAAACACTGTAGTAGTGGAACCAAATATTTTATTGTAGGACAACTCAGTTTACACAAGGAAGCTCTGGTAGAAACTGGTTAAAATATTATTAGTTTGAGCAAAGATGAATGATAGCTAACGGTGGAATCCAACACTCGCGTTTCGTCCTATATGGGCTTCGTCAAATGTATATGCCTGCATTCCAGAATTGATGTTCCCTCCAGGACTCAAACCCAGTACCGTCTGCTCCAAACGCCATGTGCTACCCACTTATCTACTGACTTCTGATAACCACTACCTTTTGCAATGAGGGTGAGGTTTTAATTCATTTTGTATTGTTTGTTTGAACCTTTCCATTTATTTTTAAGACTGCATTTGATCAGTATCTTACGGCAATTCGCACAGGATGCACATATGCCAATAAGAAAATGATTGATTGTAGTACTAAACGTCAATGGAAAGATTCGAACAAACAATAGAAAATGAGTACCAGTTTAGTTGGTTTCATATATGAGTATTGTTTGTGAGATGAAAGGTATTGAATTTAATTTATTGTAAATTTCAATATTAGAATTATGGTGAATACGTATTAAACCTGTTGATTTAGGAGCTGAAGGGAAAAACATTAAAGCGAATTTATGAACTTGAAGTGGAATGGTATAGTCGATAATTGTCACAAAAGTTTAGTATGAATAGAAATATAAATAAACTGTTTGTTCTTTGAAAAACGAACGCCTACATAACTGAATAGCAGCTAAAAATGATCCAAGCTGTTTTTAAACGATCAAACACTATTCTGTTTTACCGAACATTCATATAGATCTTCAGTTGTCGTATACACCTATATGATAATTAGAAAAACGTATACTGATTTCGAAAGGAATAGTACTGAAAAACAATGATTAATTTGACTTTACATGGACACAGAAAGAGTATATAAACAATGTTAATATTGAAGGTCATGAAAAAATAATATTAAAAAGTTTTAACGAAGATTTGTAGCTCGAGTGGGTGTCTTTGATAGTGTTGTATTCATTAAGCTAGACGGTTTAATTGTGAGACTTTCACTTTCATCCTCGAAAAATCGTCAGCGTCTACTCCATAAAGTATATATGTATATATACAGTTTAGGAGTAAATAACAAATTTATTTTGTTAAAATAAAGTGAAGAATAAATGTTTGTGTTATTGACTGACTGAAGGCATTACAATAAGTTTTCAGTGTCGTTTTATCGATATACACAATATCATTTGAACTGACATCACCATCTACCAAGTAAAGCAATTCTAACGATTTATCACACACACTGACCGCAAAGTACCTGATTGTAAATCATCTCATTTCTATATTGGTTATAAAATGTGGAGTGAAGATTGGCAGTGACAGTCTAAATGTCAGATACAAGGGTGTAGTTCATTTGGGAGAAATAAAAAAGTTTGTTATCAAAGTAATACATTAAAACATTTTGATGGGGCTTCTACAACATCTGATTACTTAATGCCAGGATAACAAAGTTATGAGTTGATAAATATTCACTTATAAGTATGAATAAACAGGGAGGTATTTTTTATATTTATTTCCTTGAGTTCTAGTGGGAAGCAGTGACCAATGGAGTTCTACCAGGTCTGTTGTAGAGACATCAGCTCACTGAAGACAATTGGTGAACGATTGCTCAAAATCGTGGATTGGCTGAATTTAGACATTAACACCACCGGATGCCGGCTCAGTGGTCTATCGGTTAAGGGCTCTGGCTCGAGACTAGTAGGTCCTGGGTTCGAATCTCGGGAGTGCGGGATCGTGGATGCGCACTGCTGAGGAGTCCCATAATTGGACGAAACGGCCGTCCAGTGCTTCCAGGTTTCCCATGGTGGTCTAACTTCAATTGACTCATGATTTCAACTGTGAATATTATTGTCAAAACAGAAATATTTGGTCATGATATCAAAACTGTCTAATATATTTTAAAAAAAATACCGGTTAGACAATTTGAAGAATTTTGATTGTTATAAATAATGTCTTGATGAATAAGGTTTTTTTGAACTGCCTATCATTTAAAATATGTCAGAGCAAATTTGCTTGCCTGACTACAAATAAAAGTTGATATAATGATCTTTGGTAGAAAATAATACGTATTTATTAATACTCTATTATATCCATAATCAATACTGTCATCGGCAAAAACATTATCGGAATAAAGTTATATTCATTATTCATTCTTTGTCTACTTTAAATATTTTCATTTCGAATACAATACTTTTTTAGAAGATCAAAAATAAATAAAAGAATGATCTGAAAAATTCCAAACCTGTATTTTTATACGTCTGTCAGGATATTTTTATATATGTGTGTTGTGTTTATTCTGGTTAGCATTTTTCTTGCAAGGTTGCATTTTACATAAAGAGTTTGCTGACCCCATACCTAACCATCCTTTTTTACCCAAACTTGGGACCGGGAGTAACCCTAGAAGAGCAACAGAATGAGCCAACATCAAGGTCAGAATCTTTGATACGAACATCAGGACAGTCCTACTATACGGAGATGAAACTTGAAGAACTACCACAACCATCATCAAAAAAATTACAGATATTTATAAACATCGTATACGCAAGATACTCCATGTCCGTTGGCCGTATACCATCCGCAACAGTCTGCCGTGGGAAAGTACAAAACCAGTCTCCATCTGAAGAGGAAATTAGGAAAGGACAATGGGTGTGGATAGGATATACATATCGGAAAACATCAAACTTCATGATGCGACAGATAACTTGTAATTGTGAAAAGAAATGGAAAAGAGGAAGACCAAGGAATACATTGCTTCGGGAATTTGAAGCAGACATTAAAAGAATGGATAGCAACTGAAGACAACTGGATTGCCCAGGACAGAGTTCGATGGAGAAAGTTGATGAGCGGCCTATGCTCCTCCATGATAGTTAATAGGCGTAAATAAGTAAACAAGTAAGTGTGTTTATGCAGCTCATATACTTTTAAAAACGTATGATGATCAATGTTTGCCTAAGCTTACTTTGTTTTCATGTTTACAATACTCTTTAAAGTACAATTATTTCAGTTATAATTTGAAGTAAAAAATTACTTATTTGTTTAGTGAAGCTTTTTTGCCAAAAAGTTAGCAATTCAGCTTAAGACTACGGTGAGATTACTTGTGATGATAAGGAAATGATTTTATAGCTGAATAATCTATAAAATGCAAATATCTTTTCAAATAAAGTAAACAAAGTGAAAATAACTGGCAAGTTATTTTGCGTCACTTTTCAATTATTCAATAAATTTCCTAAAATTAATGGAATGAGTTGCATTTAATATGTATTTAATATGTACACTAGAAAACTCAAAATATTCATCACAAGTCCAGTGTTAAATCTGAATTATAATAATTCGTAAATATGCCCAATAAAACATACGCAACTACATTTTTCAAGTCATACACCGTAAGGTATTACTTTGTCATACAAAGTAGATACTATTCATCTCACCAAAGTTAAGTCACAACATACGCAGAAAATGATGAAGAAGATTGTCGAAATTTGATTTTAAGAATCATGGTTTACTGTTGCATGATGAAAATACTGTATTGTTTTTCAGTTATTTGCATATGTTTACTTTAAGATAACATATTAGAATTGACATTACATAAAAATCAGAAGGGGTTTTTGTGGAGATTTCAGTATTTTTATAGTTGAAATCATGAGTCAATTGAAGCTAGACCATCAAGGAAAACCTGAAAGCACTGGAGGGCCATTTCGTCGTATTGTGAAACTCCTCAGCAGTGTGCTGACTTCAAGATATATTTCCTGGAGTTCTAGTGAGAAGCAGTGAACAGTGGAGTTCAAACACATCTGTTGTGAGATAGGAACTCACTGAAGACAATCGGTGAACGGTTGCTCAGCTTCATGGATTGGTTGAAGTTAGACATTAACACCGTTGTATCCCACCTCAGTGGTCTATCGGTTAAGTGCCCTGATGTGAGACTGGTAGGTCTTCGGTTCGAATCTCACGAGGCGAGATCGCGGATGCGTACTGCTGAGGAGCCCCACAATAGAACGAAATAGCCGTCCAGTGCTTTCAGGTTTTCCATGGTGGTCTAGCTTCAATCGACTCATGATTTTAACTATGAAAATTACTTAAAAAGCATAAATCTGGAAAAACGTGGATTGGACTAACGATAACTTCAAACAGTTTTAAATATGATTAACTATTTCTATTCAGTACTAAGAATGTTTAAAGTAATCTTTTTCAACATAATGAAATATTCAATATGTAGCTTTTGTAAATCAAGCACAGTAGTTTTATGTTTTAAACTCCGATTAATTTCTAACATTTTTCTTGAAACATCTGATATTACGTATAACTTTCTGATATATATATCTGTACTGGTACACATACATACATTATTCTTTCGTCAGTTAATCGATTTACAATTTTTGATTGAATCATATGAAAATATTTTATTATACAAAAATATCGCCAATTGTTTTCTTAACAAACATGAGCTTATGACCAAATATTATCCTACTATTCGATACATACTGTTAAGTTCAAACGACAAAATGTTGTTTAAATCCTTATTTTTTTTAACTGAATGTTTGAATGTTCATAGTTCAAGTGGAAAATACAAATTCACCATATGTATTCTTGACAGTAAAGTTCCAATTTCTATCCCTTATAGTATCATGCAATTAATTTCCTTTATGAATTTAAATAAAGCCAGAACAAATATTGATGCAGAATAATATGAATTCATCATATTTCATCGTTTCTCATCAGCTGCTTACAACCAAATATGTATTAGAATTTTAGCATTGGGGTAATTAATATTGTGGAACAATTGACATAATTGAATGTAAAGGATTGGAATGACAAAAGGTTATCAATGGTAACTATATATATATATATATATATATATATATATATGCAGGGAAAGTTCAGAGGTTATTAGGTATTAGAATGAAGGAAGTATAAAGGGTGGGTGGTATAATAGTTGAGTGTGGAATTCAAAGACAGATAAGATAAAATATGTGATAACTTTAGAGGTAATGAAGGAGTCATGAAATTAAAAACAAATAGGATGAGTTACGTAATACATATTTGGTTGTAAGCACCTGATGAAGAACCATGAAATATCATGAAATTCATATTATTCTGCATCAATATTTGTTCTATCTTATAGTATCATTGTTGTACATAACTGAAAAGTCATACATTACTATAAATCAATTATCCAAAACGTCTTCAATTGTAGATTATGCAAGATGTTCATCAAACTAAAATAATTAAAACAAAACATTTAGTCTAGTCACTTACATTTTAACAAACGTTAGTTGTTTAGATAATTTCACATTCATTTCATGATATTGTAAAACTTGATTTTGTAAATTACTCAATTTTTCTTGAGCACAATGAATCACATTATTCATAAGTAATAAATCATTTTCATTATTAGATAATGGGTTCAATTGTAAATTAAATGATAAATTATTTTTTATATTTAGAAAATCTTTATCATTCGAATTAATTATTAATTCTTTATTGGATACTTTATTTAATTTATTTTTTAATTTAATTAATTTTAATGAATTTCTAAATTGTACATTGAATAATGATTGATTTGGTGTATATGTTGAAAAATTGGCGGGAGAATATTTTGAATTTAATAATTTTAATTTAAGATTAGTTAAACTATTATTATTATTATGACGTTGATCATATAATTTTGATGCAGATATTGAAGTCATTTCAGAAATAGTATTACTTTTTTTTAATTCATGATTTTGTTTTATTTTAGAAAGACTACCGGTTCGAATAAAAAGTGAATTGGATAATGATGTATTAGTTGAAGAGTAATTTGAATGATCTGGTAGGGTATTACACTTATGATTTTTCATTTCCTATGAATATAAATAGAAAAGAAAAAGAAAAACGAATTGAATGGGTAACTTCAGAAGTTAAATTTAGTAATTTTGATGATGCATTATTAAACTAAATGAAATCAATATTCAATAATTTTCATGAAGAAATGTTTATAAGCCAAAAAATTGAAATTCAGAAAACAGTATTACATTTTTAATTGGTCACGTGATCGTCAAGTATGTCTTAGATAAAAACAATCAAAAAAATATCTCACATTTTTAAGACACATATCAAACAACAAAAGAAATTTGGGATGTTTTATTACTATAAGAAAATATGCATTTTCAACATATTTTACGAATGTTTATCCAACAATCTATTCATTGTGACTAGGATTAAATTTACATCATAACAAACGGCTTTATAATCAATTTGACTCACGAAAAATTCAATTGGTTATGAGTAGAGATTTCTCACTAAGTAATATTTGAAAAGTATTTTACCACACACAATTTCTTTCAACACTCACCTTATAATTCAATAATTTTCAAAAATATAAAACTTAAGTTTATTTCGTGAATAAACTGTGTATCACAATCTACAATGAATAGCACTAAAGAATGCAGTGTTTTTTAAATGTGAAATGCTAACGTTGAAACACAACAAAACAGATTTTCTTTCCTTTTCATTAGAACACTTTTTGTAACATATTATAAAAGATAAATTTCACTTAAAAATATCACATCTATTAAGAATACAAGGGTACTATGTTGAGAGATTTTCTAAAAGATTAAAAAAAAACTGAGTACAGAGTACCATTGTTCTCATTAAACAGGTTATTTTTAAAATCAAAAGGATAGAAAAGACAACAATCTTAAACACTTCAGTTAAAGTTAAGTTCTTCCATGATGATTTCTAAAATTGATTTATCACTCTGAATAACTTATAAGGTTTAAATCAGAAAACGAATTATGTAAGTGTCCATTAGGAGATTATTTATGAAACAAAACTAGCCCGATGTCAAGAAAATATTCTGCATAGCTTTTAAGTAACTTTATAACAAATTAATGGTACCAGTGCTAGTCTTCAACTTACGCTTGCTGTGTGTAGATGGAATAATTCCTTTGTTTCCTATCTCCAGCTTCTAAGTCGGTTACTTAATGCTGAAACCTAAAATCTAATAAGTGAAGCCGATTTAATCAACCACACATAATGGAATTGTTCACACACACAAATTTAATTAGTCATGTTTTTATTCGCTTAATGAATAACAATATGTACAGTGTAAAATTTAAGAGCTTCATTTCAACACTCTAAACTATCTACATACACAACAATCGAATAACTACTGAAGTATAATGAAAGAGCCCATTTTAAAGTATTTTTAGATCAATAATAAATTTATACGTAATGCAGTTGACATATTTGTCAAAAAACTCTTTAACTGATGAAATTTTTATCAGTTTTATTTACAATATGATTGGTTTATATTGTAAACATTTTTTGTTTAAACTATTACGACTATAAATGGTGACTGGAATTTATAAAATTTCACGTTACATTGATTAGCGTTTATTATAAGGTAGTTATGATCTACTAGAAAACAATTCTCAAATGATCTAATATGATCTAAATGATAATACTTTAGTTAATTTATTACGATGGTAGTATAAAATTCCATTTTAGAAATATTCATTATTGTGGATAATTTTAGCGTTTAGGTTATTTCTTTTTCTAACTTATTAACCCTATACTGACAGTGAATGATCTGGAACAAGAAAACAGAATTATATTCGTATCTAATATATCTTTGCCGCATATTATATATATATACTTTGGTCTAACTTCGAGATCAACAGGCTAGATTCCGTAAGGATAGGTCGTGCACAAACCAGATTGTAACACTACGGATCATCGTGGAACAATCTGTTGAGTGTAACTCATCACTATACGTCAATTTCATTGACTGTGAGAAGGCGTTTGACAGTGTGAACAGTATGGACATTATGGAAACTTCTCCGACGCTATGAAGTTCCTCAGAAGATTGTTACTATTGTTGAGAACTCATACGATGGACTACAGTGCAAAGTCGTGCAAGGAGGACAGCTGACAGATGCATTTCCAGTAAAAAGCGGAGTCAGACAAGACTGTCTACTCTCCCCATTCCTCTTTCTTCTATTGATTGACTGGGTTATGAAGACTTCGACATCTGAGGGGAAACATGGAATACAATGGACATCTCAGAACCAATTAGATGATTTGGACTTCGTAGATGACCTAGCCCTCCTCTCTCATACACACGAACAAATGCAGATGAAGACAGCAAATGTAGCAGCAGCCTCCGCATTGATAGGCCTCCACATTCACAAAGGAAAAAGCAAGATTCTCAAATGCAACACGGAGAACACCAATCCAATTACACTTGATGGCGAAACTCTGGAAGAGGTGAAAACACTCACGTACCTGAGGAGCATCGTTGATAAACAAGGAGGATCGGATGCAGATGTAAAGGCGAGGGTTGGCGAAGCAAAGGCAGCATTCTTACAATTGAAGAGCATTTGAGACTCAAAATAACTGTTAATCAATATTAAAATGAGAATCTTCAATACGAACGTCAAGACAGTCCTACTGTATGGAGCTGAAACTTGAAGAACTACCACAACCATCATTAAGAAAGTACAAGTATTTATAAACAGTTGTCTACGCAAAATACTCAACATCCATTGGCCGGATATCATCAGCAACAGCTTTCTGTGGGAAAGGACAAACCAGCTTCCAGCTAAAGAGGAAATTAGGAAAAGACGTTGGAAGTGGATCGGACATACATTAAGGAAATCACCAATGTGCATCACGACTCAATCCCTAACTTGGAATCCGGAAGGGAAGCGGAAAAGAGGAAGGCCAAAGAACACATTACGCCAGGAAATAGAAGCAGATATGAGAAGGATGAATAACAACTGGAAAGAACTGGAAAGGAAGGCCCAGGACAGAGTTGGATGGAGAATGCTGGTGTGTGGCCTATGTTCCTCCACGAGGGGTAATAGGCATAAGTAAGTAAATATATATACTTTGGTACGTCATACTAAAAGTTACACATTTCTGTGGTAAGTTTGTGAGTGGACAGTGCTGAGGAGACCCATTCAAAGATGAAAGAGCAGCCTAGTACTTTCCGATATATAAACGTTTAATTATTTATTAGATAGATATAGTTGATAAAGATTTGATCTTTAGTCTCTTATTTGAAATTTCGCCAACAAAAATTTACGTTTAAAATTCTGCATAAAAACACTTCATCAGTATGATCTCCATAAAAAAATTTACGTAATGAACCTATTATGTAGCACAAAAGGTTATTGAATTCCATTAAAAAGCAATTTCGTCTGTTTTATTTTCCTCAATGGAAGAAAATTTTTTATTTTAACCACTTGTTGCCACTGAAAAATATTTTCACTTCAATATTGAATATTAGACATGATTTGCTCCTTTTTTCAATCAATGAACATTGAACAATAGATTGGATTATCAAGTGGACAATTAACAAAATGTTTCTACATATGGGTTTATTTATATTTTACGTGTCTAACTAAAAAAGTAGAATATTTTGAATTTCCGTTTTGTCTCAACTAACCGGAACTGATGTCAAAATATAATTTCGTGGTGTATGTCAAATTATGTAGTATGTAACACCAATCGTAAGTGGAAAACCTGGCAGCAGAAGGCTAAGAAGATCGAGTTTTGGAAAACAGAAAAGCGAATAGAAAGCAATTGTGAGTTGGAAGAATCATACAGAATGTAAAGGACGATTGATGACAGATTTACAAATGAAATATTTATTGTATGGTTTTCATATTCAAATAAGAAGTTCTGTAATTTTGTATTAACAAATAATTTCGTTGTACCCACATGAGTTCTCGTTCATTACAATTCTATCAATATTAAGTAATAATAATGATTTTATAAAACTACATCTCTTTTAAGTTTTATAGTTATTCAATTATGGTAATGCATATACAGTTTAGTTAGAAGGAAGTTATTCAAATGAAATAATTCAAGAAAGCCAATTTGAACAGAAATTGAAACTCATAACTTTAAACGACACTTCCTAATTGAAAGTAATGGAACATTCAAAATGGAAGACTTTTACATCTTAGTAATGCTTTGATTAAGAAGAAAATTTGTTTTTTTCGAATGGAATCTAAACTTCATCGATGGAATTGTATCTAGATGAAGAAAATGGATACAAGTTGATCAGATTAAGAGAGATCAAAATGTTTCATTTTGTAAAAAAATATAGCTAACACGGAAATTCAGAGACAGATTTTTCATTTCATTGTTAGTCCTTTTTTTACATCACAATCTCTATGTTGTTGTCACAAACGGATACACTTGGCGACCTTTTATAATAAGTTAGTCTATAGATTTATTTTCAAGTGACTTTATATATATATATATATATATATATATATATATATATATATATATATATATATGCATACATATACGTCTTCGTTTAAGTACAGTCTCGAATAGATTACTTAAAAATTCATACTAATCATGATGTACACCATAGAAGAATGAGAAATTGAAAAAATAATGATACATAATGACAAAATTATCACACGTGCCAAAATTGCTACTAAACAACAAGAAAATATGACTGCACTACAGTGGCGTATGCTACTTATGTCGACAGACATAAGTAGCACGTAACACTAATGAAAAGTTTAATAGTTGGCAGCAGAAGACTAAGAAGATCTAATTCAAGGAAATAGAAAGGGAAATAGAATTGTGAATTGGAAGAATTATACGAAATGTAAAGGACAATTACTTGAAGATTTGCAAATGAATCACTTAATGTATGATTCTCTTATTTCCCAAAGACATTCTGTGATTTGTATGAAGTAATGGATTGGTTGTCCCCACTTGAGTGTTCTTTCACTACACTGTCTAAAAGGTTATTTGACTGACGAATTAAAATGTGTTTAGATAAATTTTCTTTTGGCACAGATACTTTTCAAAAATTCATATGTCAAAACTTCTACGATTTTACTACTCACTTTCATACAAAATGATACGTTAATATAATGGATCAAGTCGCACTGTCGAACATATATATATATAAGGGTAATGTGGAAATGTAAGCCCAGTTATTGACACATTTTCTTCTAAGCAGAATGAAATTTTTCAAAAGTGTTTTTTAAATTAAATTAATCTAAATAACCACCAACCAATTAGACTAGGTTATGACTTCAATAGTTAGAGCAAATCACAACCGAGACTATGTACCAGAGCATTAATTAAGAAACTAATTACTTCATTCAGGTAAAGACTATTCAATTTCACACAACTGGACAGTGTGTGAAAATTTTAATACACTTTTTGCTTAGATCGAAGATTATCAATTTGATTGATTATGATGAAAAAAACTGAAGAAATTTATATGCAAACGTCATAACATTTACCTTTGGTACATCATAGGGTTCAACAATTCGATTGTAGGTATTAAGCTCTGAATCTTTCCATAGTTTTCCAGTAGATCTACTTCTTTCAGACCAAGATCTTTGAAGTTTTCCACTTTCTTGTAAGTATGCATTATCTGTTGTTGTTTTAGGAAGTCTAAAAGAGTGACGTTTACGGTCGTATCTGTCAAATTGATTGCAGAAGGAATTAGATGATGCCCGTTTGTCAGAGATATGAAACTTGAACTTCCTTTCATTGAAATTGGGAAAAGTAGATTACGAGAAATAATATTGTGGAATAAATATCATGAGAGTCATTTACTGATAAATATTTTTAACTGATTGAAATCGAAGTGAAACTTAGTTTAACTATAGATTAAAGAAATGAGATACGGTTCAATCCTAAACATAACTGGTTCTGATATCAATCACAAGACAAATGCTTTAGTATACAAAAGACAAGATTTGGATGATTAATTTGGATATAACAAACATGCTGTCACATTTATGTAGTTAAAATATTTATATACAAATATCTATTCTTCACTCTACAATTGAGTTTATTGTGTTATTATTTCAAGTTCATCAAGTTCATTGAACTTATGACAATGATTTTGAGAGTTCAACTTATGTACAAATTAGAATGTTTACAGTTTAGAGAAATATATTATTCGTTTAGATAATTTCTTTTCTTAAATTTCTGAATCCGTATTTTCACTAAACTGAATTTATTTTGAATAAATTGAGTATTGGGTAGATTGCTATAAATAAATAATATGTTTGTAATATCCCAAAGAATTTATTCTCTGAAGAAGTGGCTTACACTGAGTCACGAAACGTCAGAAAATCTAATTTTTCTACTCATTGGGATATTACAAATATATTATTTATTCATAAACTGAATTTAGTTTCAAACGTCAAAAATTGAATTCATAGAATAGAGATTTAGCAATCAATAGATTATTATGTAATTTTACTTGTTTTCATCATTAATTTGCATTATCTGAACAGTCAGAGATGTTGTGCCTACATCGCCCATTGGGAGATACAACCAAAACAAAGAAATAAACAATGACAAATTTAAGGTCAATAAGAACCAATCAACATTGAGAAGCACAAGACAAGCTGTGAACCACATGTGGAGTAATTCAAACACTTCACTTCTACCCGACGTTTGTGCTGATGATGTCGTTCGGAAGAACGATGAAAGCTCCACGACCAAACCATTGAGCTCAGAAAACGAAACTCCATCAAAATCATCCATCTGAGCTACAAATCTTTTCCACAATCATTTTTTGATTGAAAATCAAACTGGTTCTGGTGTTTGCTGAAGCAATTACTTTTCTACTCATAATCTTTACGTTACAAAGAATGATAGACTTATTTTACCAAAATCTTAGTATTATAGGAGTGTACTTTATCAACCAAATATTTAGTTAGAAAATGACTGATGGTGTGAACTAAATTGCGTATATAATTTCAGGAAAAATATGATGTTAATAGATACTATTTAATGAATTCTAGGTTAACGGTAAAATAGTTTATTAATCAAGATACAGAATCAGACTATGGTTTATATTCCATTGTTACAGTGAACACCGAATGATATCCCCAGATATATAGTTGAAATTGAAAATGTCAGTTTCACTTATTCAATCAACATTTTTCTGAAATTTTGTTTTTACATCACCCATCATCAAACAATGTCTAATAAGATTAGTTAATTTGTGTATGACTAGACGTTTTGGATTATGATTGAATGAAAAATGTGTTTTTACTTTTTGCTGAATTAATAGCTAAAGTTGGGTGATAAAACGTTAAATTATTTTTAACAAGCTCAAAAATATCCCCTTAACCATAAAAAAATATGTATATATGTGTGCATTGATATATTTACATAATATTTGAGTATAAGGATATTCAGGGACTGAAGTGAAATCAAGATTCTCTAGGAAACCATCGTTATCTTGCACTGAGAGGTCATTAGGCTAAACCATACATTATAAACTATTTTCTAGATAAAAATAATTTGCCACGGTCCTGTCATAAAGATCGCTCTCAGCATATAAATATGTAAGTAAAGAATTCTTTCATATTATTTTATATGAGGAGAGACGTATATCGGTAAACTGCTATAGGACGTATTTTTAACGCACTAAAATGATTACGCAATGCAATACTTTTACCTACAATGAGTACAGTACAATGTCGATTGATTTATTATGGAAAAATATGTGAATAAGATGGCAAATAATATATCACTCATTTCCTGTCTATCAGAATTAAATTCATTTATAATGATGTGGTCTACTGATTTGTAAAAGTGGATACAACTATGAGGTTATTTTTTAATGCAGTAATCTGGTTTTATTATTTTCACCAAAGAAAATCCATTAATTATAATAATAGTAGTTATTACCCACTTTTTTTATATGAAAGTTATGTGTACAACATATTATTAGACTCTGTGGAATGTCACCCTTAAAAAAAGACCTGTCCAACAATGTTGAGCAATAAAAGACGAAAGAAATAATGAACGGTTAGAGAAAACAATAAAAAAAGAAATGAACAGTTATTTACTTCTAGTTGCAAATTAGGCGAGGTGTAAAGATAGTGTTGAGTGTTACATAATTATATCTTGTCTTGATTCTGAGTCACAACTGGTAATATTTGTAACCGATGTATTGTGATATAATCTTATTTTATACAAACCAATCGATCGATTAGCATAATTGAAAATATGAACAGGATTACGTTAAGTGTTTTCATGTAGCTATAAGGGTTGAATCATGCATTTACAGCCGGTCACTCGAAATAAAATAAAGAATAGCTAGTATGTTAATTTTTTTAAAATTTTACCATAAACTGAGTTGCCAAATACCATCAGTAATGACCTAATGTTTCAGAGAACAAATCAACTTTCAATTAAAGAGGGAATTAGAAAAAACTCCGGAGGTGCATAGAACACAGATATCGGAAATCACCAAACTCTGTTACGATGCAAGCTCTGGCTTTGAATCCTCATAGCTAAAGGAAAAGGAGCAGATCAGAAAACGGATTTCACCGAGTATTGAAGAAATATATCAAAAGAATGAGCAGTACTTGCCAACAACTGCAAATGAGAGCCCAGGACAGAGTTGGTTGTAGAGTCCTGGTCGGTCAATGAGTTATTGTGTGAAAGTAACTTTTTTATGCATTATTTAGTCTCGCAAGGATTGTATGTGTTAATCAATATAACATTTATCTGTAATTTGCTAGTATTCATTAATATTACAAAATTTCATGGTTATTAATGAAATTTATCGACAGAAAATTCATGTGCTCAAAATCATTTGGTTCAAATAACTTCAATATGACAGAAATGATCAGTTTCATCATATTACTTAAAATAAATCAAGGAAAGGAACAATTATTTTCATTTTTCAAAATATTCTGCAGAAAATTGAATCTTTAAATACATAGAATGAGCAAAAGCATTTGTGACATTTGTTTAATTTTCAAAGTCATGATTACGTTTTTCTACCCAGATATACATGAATTGTTATTTCCTAACGAAGAATAAATGAGTGATAACTGCAATGAATTGTTAATGAACTGTCATTACACATATATTCTTATTATATAATTATTAAGTAACTATATCAGACACATATTCATATTCGTTTTATTATAAGCTTCCATTTGACCTATTGACTATTATTATACAAGTTACTTCATAAGTTATTCCCAGTTTATTAGTTTCAACCTCTCACACCCGGCCACATTTGGCCTGATCTTGTATGATTGTTATTTTCTATTTTGTGGTATGACGAGGTCTGATGTGTTTGTGTATAAACTGCGTATGTCTAAAGCACATGATTCATACGGTGGAAACGGAGGTTGCGTTTTGGCTCAAATTGACAGGACTAGATGAGAAGATCCAATAAGGACTCAGTGTTGACTCTAAGCTGCTCGTACTAATTAACGCGTCATTGGTTTGGCGCATTACTTTTTACTTTTACTTACCCCTGTTACCCCCAATCGAGCATAAGCCGCCGACCAACATTCTCCAACCCATTCTAACCTCGGCCTTCTTTTCTAGTTCGATACAGTTGTTGTTCACTCTTCTCATGTCTGTCTCTATTTCTCGGCGTAATGTGTTCTTTAATCTTCCTCTTCTCCTTTGGCATTCAGGATTCCAAGTGAGGGCTTGTCTTGTGACACGTTGGGTGATTTCCTCAAAGTGTACCCTATCCAATTCCAGTGCTTCTGCCTGTTTTCTTCCTCTGCTAGAATCTAGTTTATTTTCTCCCACAGTAGCTTGTTGCTGATCGTGTCTGGCCAACGGACCCGAAGTATTTTGCGTAGGCGACTGTTAACAAACACTTGTATCTTCTGGATGATGGCTTACGCAGTTCTCCAAGTTTCCGCCCCATACAGTAGAACTGTCTTGACATTCGTATTGAAAATTATGATCTTGGTGTTGTTTGGCAGTGGTTTTTAGTTCCAGATGTTCATCAGTTGTATATATGCTGCTCTCGCTTTGCCGATCCGCGTCTTCACATCTGCATCAGATCCACCGTATTCATCGATGATGCTGCCCAGATATGTAAAGGTTTCCACATCCTCCAAATCTTCTCCATCAAGTGTGATTCGAGTCGTGTATGCTGTATTGTATCGAAGAGTCTTGTTTTTTTCCTTTGTTTATATTGAGACCTACTGCTGCTGAGACTAGTGCTACACTCGTTGTCTTCTTCATTTGTTGTTGCGTATGTGATAGAAGAGCCAGATCATCTGCGATGTGTAGATCGTCTAGCTGCATCCTAGCTGTCCATTGTATCCCGTGCTTCTCTCCAGATGTTGCCGTCTTCATAATCCAGTCGACCACAAGGAGGAAGAGAAAGGGTGAGAGTAAGCAACCTAGCCTGACACCGGCCTCTACTTCGAACAAATCAGTCAAATGTCCTCCACGCACAACTTTGCAGTTTAATCCATCAGAAGAATTCCGCATGATATTGACTATCTTCTCAGGTATGCCGTAGTGTCGAAGAAGCCTCCATAGTGTTGTCCTGTCCACGAGGTCAAATGCTTTCTCATGGTCAATAAAGTTGATGTAGAATGATGAATTTCATTCAATTGATTGTTCCACAATGATCCGTAGAGTTGCGATGTGGTTAGTACACGATCGATCCCAATGCAATCCAGCCTGTTGGTTTCAATTTTGAGCGTCTGTGGAGTTCTTCATTCTGTTTAACAACACCCTGTTAAATACTCTTCCTTGTATTGAAGGAAAAGTTATAACTCTGTAGTTGTCACACTTGCTGAGGTCGTCTTTCTTTGGTATCTTGATCAGGTGTCCTTCTTTCCAGTCTGTTGGTACTTGTTAGTCCACTCAATGTTGTATACTACTACTGTAATCGCCTTTTCCGTAGCATACTTATTTGGTTTGTTATTATAATATAATTACATTGGGAACTAAAACAAGTATGTTGTGGTTTTTAGTGGCTTGGTTTTCATTTTTTTAATCACCCATATAACCATTATTAATTAAATCTCAACAGTGTATTAATTCAGAAGGCAATAATAAAAATCGACTAGAGTCTACTGTTGGATAGTTCAGATAACAAAGTTACGAGCATACTAAGCGAATTTGAGCAGAATGGCTAATGCGTGCGAGCAAGCGAACACAGAGCTCGATTTTGAGTCAAATTGTATAGAATCGAACCAATTGATGAGATTCAAGCACAAATATATGGGAAAGTGAATGATTCATTGAGCGATATTTAAGTGACTAACATTTAAGCTAGAGAGAGGGGGATATGCGCGTAGGCTATAACATGTGGCCAAGCATACATGATCACACAGATATGATAGTAGTAATAATAATAATTTACAGAAATAGACTAATTGTTACTACTCAAATAGCATTGTTTTATAAATAAGTAAATAAAAGTGCTCTACTAAACTAACCGTAAACAAACCTAATTGTAAGAGAGATGCTATAGATTTACTGAAAAATTTATTAACATTAAGAAAACGAAAATACTGTTAGTCTTTTTGAATTGGAATCTAAGACATTTACTGTTAGTTATTTAGTCTTGTCATTATTACTATGACATGTGTCAGACAGATAAACGTTTACTCATATATTCTAGATATGTCAAGAAAGCCTCCAAAGGTTTGATTGTGTACCGATGAGAAAACAGAAACACAATTATGAACATGCAGATACACAAACATTCATCTTTGATTATTGTGGATTGAAAGTACATCCGTTAACATTTCGACTTGGTGTTCTCAATGTCAAGCATAAAGTAGCATTCCAAATAGCATGCTACTTACGTATGCATAAACAAATCAGTACCCCAAGAAGATCACTCAACTAATAACTTGGAAAAACACAAGTTTAACACAAATTTCGTTTCATTAATATTATAATGTTTTTTCTGATGTTCAGGTAAGTTTTTTGGCTTTCGTTATCTTTTTAAATTTTTAACCTGACACTAGCATTTTAAAAAATACAACGTGGTTCATCCGATGTCCAGTCACCTAAACAAGTGGTCACGTTACAACTTGATTGATAGAATTCGATCTGCATTAAAAAGTACCTGACATAAATGACAGTGGTTACTATCCAGTGATCAATCAACTGTAAATATATCTTATTCCTAAAGGAAGTTAGTCGCAAGCTGGATAGCTCAGTCGTGAAATTCCTGACTGGGAAGCTAGAAGACACGAAATAGAACCTGTCAGTGAGCATCAGTTTCTTCAAAATTACAGGTACACCTTGCTGCCGAGTCTCCAAAAACATAGAACACAAATCCAGGGTTTCGTGTCAGCTATCTTCAGCTCTCACCTAACATTTTAAAAAGTCTTACTTCAATGAGAATCAATGGGGATTTGGTCTATACTATGCGATATATAATAAGTGAAACAGCTTGTACTGATATTCTATCTGTTGTTAAAGTAAGAGCTAAAATATCGTGCAACAGAATTGAGAAATTCAACCGAATGAAGAAGCCGAATAGTTGCTTCAATATAAACTAACTGTAGAGAGTTCAGAAAAAACAAAACTCAACAGAAATTAGTTTTCCTTGGCAATGAAACAGCTTATGCAGAACAAAAATGTCAAATATAATTGAGTTTGATGTTTGATGGATGTTGTTCCATTTAAAGTAAGTTTTCATCCGCAACCAACGTTAGATGAAAAATGAAGCCGAAATGGATAACGGTTACATCCTATTAATTGAATACGTACATAGACGCAAGATATAGAAATCGGTCAGTGATATTAAGAAAGTTGGAAAGTGATTAACAGTGGGATCCAAGAGGTGTGTTTTCTTCTATTCCGAAATTGTTAGATTGACATATCAGCATCTCAGTGTTGATATTCCTACTGAAATTTGACCATAGTGCTTTCACCTTCAAACGCCAACACATTATCACTGAACTACTAATTCTAGGTAGCTACTAGCTTGTGTAACGGGTATAAATTTTATTCTTGATGGTTTTAAGTTTCCCGTTGCTGCATCAGGGCTTGTAAACGATTAATCTCTACTGCTATATGCTCATCCTGTGTGCATTGTCTTGATATTCAAAACCTTTAGGAATGAAACTCATACTCATTAAACATGTCAACAGTTAACTTAACTCAGTAGTTCAGTAGGTAAGATTGTAGCAAAGCCGATCTGGATAATATCAGTGTAATTAAACAATTATCTCTCCCTCAGAATGTTGACGAACTACAGTCACTCCTTGGTACCATCAGTTTTTACTGTACCTTTGTTTCATCTATACATCAATTGAGACAGACGTTGAGTCAACTAGTATCCAATCGTACAAAATGAAGATATTCAAATGAATTAAAATCGTTTGCCATGTGTCTTGCACTACGAATATGTGCAGCGTGCAACTACAGTCAAATGGAGATATAAAGGATTACTCTGATTTCGCAGCCAAGAATTTAACAAAATGTTACATGGTGATCGTGTCACATTATTTATTCACATTATTTGTATCTAGGATAGGAATTTTAGTCTACACAGCAGACTGCCTTCAAAGATAGGCAGCCGATCGTCTAGATTATACTATTAGTTCGGTTGCAGATGTCACTGTTATTGAGAGGGTTGAGACCATAATAAATGGACGGTCTTTGAGCGACGCCAAAATGACCTTGAGAAAGTTCACTGATCTACTAGAGTCTAAAGAAGATTATAAATTAGTGTGAGAAATCAGAATCGGGATTTAGAGTTAAAAGTCAGGATTTTAATCATAAACTGACATCAGCCACCTCGCCAAAATGGTATCCAGCCATATGGATGAATGAATTTCGCGTTAACATTTAAAACTCGCCGCTTTACGTTTTATTGGTTCGTCTGTACATTATAGTCTCGCCTTGAGGGGGTAATAAGAAAGTTCATAACAGTGGTAGGAACTGTTAGATGTCAGGCCTGTTGCATAAATTCATTGTATTCTGCAAACGACTTGCATTTTATAACTTTATTCTCTGACAAGACACGCAGCAGCGAGAAGAGTAAAGCTAGGGCGAAATATTCGACCACTGTTTCCTGATTTTTAATAGTTCTTCAGGTGGATTTTAATCATGATTATCGACAACTTCCAAGTTTTCATACACTAAACCATTTACCAGCATTATATACTACTCTCATGTTATGTAGAAACAACACCACTTACCTTACACCGGTCAGGTACCATTACGTTTCATTTCTAAATGTTTATTTACTAATAAGTTTTAATTAGTTTCGCTACTGTCCTTATATAGTGAAGCTTTAACAGAGTACAAATGTTAACTATTTTGATACAGATCAATAATAATTCATCACCAACCCTAAAATGAGCTCAAGTTAACATGTTATAAAAGGAAACACCTATTAATGATCAGCCAAAGCTGTTAAGTAATAATTAGTTACTTACCGGTTGGCTTCACAATCAGTATTAGTTCTAAATCTAGTTCTCGAAAAAATGTTTTCTGGACAATGCAAAACAAACAAACAAAAGTGAGTGTATTGAAAAACTGGAGAATCAAATTCAACAGACTATATTTAGGATCTTATAGTATGAAAATAGACAAGAATTAAAAACAGTAATTTATAATATTTTTACAGAATTTAATTCGGCTTTAATTCGTTATTCTTGAAATAATTCCATGCTAGCTGACCAGTGATGATTATTATCATCGCTGGTTGATGTATAGTTTTAACTATACCGTTTACAATGAATTGAATGAATTTACTAAATCATTGAAGTATAACTCATCTAGCAAATACAAGTTTATGTACTGGATGATATTTATAACGTAAAGTGTAGTGATATTATTCGAATACATGAACCAAATCAGAAGGTATGTAGCTTGAATATGTGATCCAGTGCATCCAGATGCATTGTAGCATCTTTGAGACCAGAAGACTATCAATTCATTTTTATTTTGGTTTTTTGAATCTCCCCATTGATGTTTAGGACTATAATTGATCAGTCTCTTATTGGTATACGTGCATCCTGAGTGGATTGTCTCAATGTTGCCTTAAGTCACAAGCATTATGAGCAGAGATAATGGTGGCTAGCAGTGGAGTCCAGGACGTGCGTTTCGTCCGATTCCTGTTCGAATCTTGGAATGGACATCAGCTCAGGAATGCAAGTACATCCAGTTGACAAACCATAAATAAGACGAAACACGTATCCTGCATCCTATTAATAGCGACTATCCATATTAGAAGACTATTACCTGAAAACCTTTCAAATTTAATAGTTTCTGTCAAATGCATATTTGCTTGAAATATGCTCTAAGGAACAACTAAATTACCTGCCAATGATGTAAATGATTTAGGTAGGCATAAGAAATCGCACATTCTTCATCATTCAGTCTTCGCTTTCTCTAAGAAAGACGTTAAACCTTTAGATGAGTTGGACTGGAAAACTGAGAACACTCTATGTAAATATATTTCAATATTGCATTATTACGCAGCTTGAAAACCCTTTCTTCTAATATAACCGTTCAATAGAAAATACTATGAATTTTTGGTTTTACTAATAAACCTTCTATGCTTTCATGCACTGTGATAATTGAATAATTAGTGATTCAGGATATATTACTTATGTTACTGTGTTTATCAAGCAGCTGTGTCCTCTGTAATAAAGTGGCAGCTTTTTATTATTATGCACACAACAAACTGATGACGTGATAATGGAATTAAATAATAATTTACAATATTTATCTTCCTGAGTATATCCCTAAACCCCTCTTATGGTTATACATGAGGTAAAAATAAAATACCACTAAATCTATTGGCTGGCTGAATGGATTGATAAAAACTAATCCTAAGTATATATATATATATATATATATATATATCGTTACTTACTTTGGTCCACTGGTAACAAGTCAGCGATTGGACAAAATAACCCACGCTTTTCTGGACACTGAAAATATCGTACTCCATTTATGCTGCCATCATGTTTCCCAGAGCTGGAATCCAATACAACACCTTCAAGTGATTAAACAAAATAAATTTGTTAGTCGATCACTTTATTCGTAATTATTAGGTAAATATTTTACATCAATATTTGTGCTTTAATTCAACAGAGAAAAATTCAGTATATCATTATTATCAGACATAATACAAGACCAATTATATATAACTGATTTGCGAAACAGACTGGTTACGCATTTGAAATGCATATGAAAAAGACATAAATGAACAGTAAATAAATCAGTGTTTGTATGGATGTTACATGTAAACTTGAGTAGCTTATTTTAATACTGTAATCATTTGACGACAATAAGCTCTAGGGCTATCTTGATAATTCAGGAATAAACAATAAACAGAAATTCCTAATATTCACTATTGCGCTTTTTATGCGTAACGTGAATATGAATACTATAAATTTTCAGAATATAGTCTTCCATTACATACTGAAATGAAACGAACTACTATAGATTAGTGAATATCTGTCATTGTCTTGGTTATTCATAATGATCAACCGGTATAAAATCGAAAAGTATTTTGATTTCAACTTTCATGATGATAAAGATATAGTCTAGTAAACTCAGACTAATCATCATTAGATTTGTAGGCAAGTAAAACAGCCTCAAATTTCGATTTATGACTGTAGACCCAAATCTACTTTATTCTAACTTAAAAACCTCATATCAGTTATGAGCATGTTGAATCTAATATACAATTGTGTCCCACTCTAAGTTTGTTTAAACAATCAACCGATATTTTAACTCCATTAATTAAAACAATGAACATACCCATCACTATAGGAGTTCACTTAAAGAATTTGACTAAACTCTATATTCAATCAGTCAATTTCAGACTCTTCCAAATCAGTTAACATGATCTAAATCGGTTAACCTATACTATAAATGCCAAACTATTCTTATTCAGCATGGAAATACTGTGAAATTTAGCAAAAATTTAAAGAAGAAAACGTCAGTGTAATTCTCTGTACTTTTTAACGCTGATCAATAAGTCTATGATTTTATCGGAAAGTAGAAATTATATTTTATGTTTACGTATTTTAAAGCTAAATGCATTAATAACTGAATTCATCGAAATAGAATGAATAACTTTACAGTTTTTTTTCAGAGAAGACACTCAAGAAAATTTCGTTGTTAGTGGTGTATTGTATGATAGGCACAAATATGGCATAGAAATGTTCACACAGTAAAGTATCAATATATATATATATATATATATATATATATATATATATATATATATATATATATATATATATATATATATATATAATTCTATGAATAATAAAGACAATTGTTGGGAAGATAATCATTGAAAATTGAGGAGCTCAAAACGATTGTTTCATCATTGTTCTGAACTACTCGACAGTACTCACAGATTGTCATAGACAACATAAAACCTAGAAACTTCACGTTTAACAATAAGCTGGTAATTTTACAGTCAGTCAAGTTAGAATTGATTATTTGGTAATATTTAATAGGGATAGAGTTATATTATGTTACAAATCGACTAAATAGCTGAATAATCTATTGCTGTGCACGGAGTATAAATGTTATGAATTTGAAAGATAAATAAGGCCGTATGCTAATTTGTTGCAGTTTTATGTCCGGCTTTTATCACGTGAATTATCCACCAATCGAAATACGACTTTTGTGGTCTTAACACTGACAACTGAATGACATTCGACCAGTATGAGTAGTCTGGCGTCCTTATTGGTTTCCTGTCCGCCTAGTCCTTCCGATTGAGTCCAGAACACCAATTGCAGCTTCCGCTACGCGAATCGTTTATTTCAAGCATACTCGGTTTATATACCAGACAGACAGACCACATCACAACATAAAATAGAAAATAATATTTGTACAAGATAGAGCTAAATGTGGCTGTGAACGTGGGGGACAATAATCAACAAACTGAATATAATTTAGGGACAGTAATTCGTATGATAATAATCCTAGGTCAAAATGAAGATTATAATAAGATGAATATAGATATACACAATCTAGTTACTCAATAGTTAAGCAATAAGGATACGTATAGAATAATAGTCCATTCATAGGTCCCGGAAGTTACCAGTACTCGTGTCTTCTCTACGATATAATACTAAACATTCTATGTTAGATCCTGTAAATATTTACGACTGCTCAACGAAAAACAAAAATCTGTTTCAGTGCTACTTCCTGTCAGTATTCAGTAATTCACAACTTAATGTCAGTTCATAGTGAAGTATAAAAAATGTCTCTGTTTCTCCTGTTTTTTTTCAAGCTACATGAAAGTTATTTTATAGAGTTGAGATCATGAGTCAATTGAAGCTACACCACCATGGACAACCTGGAGGCATTGAACGGTCGTCTCGTCCTATTAGGGGAATCCTCAGCAGTGCGCATCCACTATCCCGCACTCCCGAGATTCGAACCCAGAACCTATCAGTCTCGCGCCAGAGCACTTAACCGATAGACCACTGAGCCGGTATCCAACGGTGTTAATGTTTAACTTCAACTGATCCACGAAATTGAGCAACCATTCACCAATGTCATCAGTGAGTTGATATCTCCCAACAGACCTGGTTGAACTGCACTGGTTACTGTTTCTCACTAGAACTCCAGGAAATACCTCATGGAGCCAGTCATAAAAGTACGCTTAAACTCTCCAAAAATTATTAATTAATTACTCAAACTTATTCACTATAACCTTTAAAATTGTATATTTTTTTGTTCTTTTAAAAATTTTGGCATTCAATATTCAATTTCATTTACAAGGTGATGATAAACACCATAATATCAGTAACAACATTATCAATGACAATTTGTTACTATGATATTTAAATTAAACAATCCATAAATCATTATTGCATAATGACACATATCTTTTCTTTTTTCTTCTGAAAAATTACATACTTTCTACTGTAAGGTTAATATAATGAATAAATCATGTGGCTTAAGAAAGAAAAAAAAGAGAAAAAACAATCTATGATGTGTTTTTTTGTTGTTTTTCTTTGTTTTATTTTTTTCTCGTATTATTGTGAAAATTACAGTCAATAAGTGAAACATGATTTTATTAATTTATTTATTTAACCAATCATAATAGTAATAGAATGAGTATTAATGGATCAATAAAAGAAATATATTATCTTATTTTGAACACGTGTACATGCGAACATCAACACTTGTTTTGTTCATTTGAATGAATGTAATTAATATTAATAATAGTAATATAACAATCTATGAAGTATACAGAAACAAATGACAAATTGATAGAACAATAAAGTATTATGTCATAAAATTCGTTTATCTTATTTATGAATCCCTGAAACACACTGATATATTGATGAAAGGCTGAAAGAAAGCCAGAAGAATCTCAATTGAGACGTTGTATTAGTTGATGAATTGGTTGTTTTTAATGTTAGTCTAAGTATTTCATGGAGATTTTAAATTTTTGAATGGTAAAGCATTATGTCACAAAGTTCGTTTATCTTATTGATGAATCCCTGAAACACACTGATACCTGATATTTAGATAGTAGGCTGAAAGAAAGCTAGAAGAATCTCAATTGAGACGTTGTATTAGTTGATGAATTCGTTGTTTAGTGTTAGTCTAAGTACTTCACAGAGATTTTAAATTTTGTTAATTATTATTATCTATAGTTGTAGAGAGTAGGCAACATACATCAATATCGTTCACAGTGGTCAAATTGTTTTCTTTATTTATATTTCTATCATACTTAAATTACAATACTTATTCATTTTAAAGAATATGTATTTTGTTTAGTTTCTGACTACTGTAAGTATGGTGAATAGTTCTAGTCCTCTCCTCTCCATCTTGTAAATTTTTATTTACACTTCGCTTATCCAAGAAATCTAACATACATACTTGAATGTCAGGTTCTATACTACCATGAGTATTTTGACAAAGTTCTGGATACATAATCATTAAAAATTGTGGCGAGGTGACCAACGTAAACATTAGAATCTTTCAACTAATCTAGACGGCAGATAATGATTTATTTGGGATTTCTATGTAACGAAACTTATTGAAGTTAAGGTAAAGAAAAGTTAGTGAAACTCAACTTTGAACTTGGTATGTATGTATATCGGTTCAAGTTGCCATATCAAGTTACTACATAGATGACGTTTTTAAAGGAAACTTCAGGGTAGTTTTGATAGTAATAGTAATATTTGTGATAATAAGATTAGTCATCGAACAAAGAATTCAGTAAAAAAAAAGATAATTTATAAAAATTACGAGGAATTCAATAGCTTGGAATCAAGAACGAAATAAAGATTAGGTGCGCGATTGTAAACGATTCTAAGCCATGCTATTCAAAGATTTTAACCAGTGGTTGAGATAACGACGCGGACCCCGAACAGGTAGTCCTCAACGCCAAACATAGCTCAGTTCAAATGTAAATGACTTCATGGGATAATGCTATGTTGTGCTCTGACCGCTTTTACGTTTCTTTCAGACTACTCCTACAGCACACAAAATTACCCCATCGAAGTACGTAGTGTGTGGTAAAACCTCCCACACATCCCAATCAATTCGGTTGACGAAGATTTATGACCTCATCAATTGATTTCACAACCTTATATGAGACTCTATTTCTAACCCGGTCACTGCTTACTCAGTGGTTTCAAAATACACGAGCAATGCTTTATATATGTCTGTGATCGAGTATTAGTAGCCTACGAATATCATCTATCAGCAATTGGGTAGTGAAAAACTGATGATTATTCAATAAGTACTCAAATAAACTTCTACATGGAAATATGGACCCTCATTTCATGTAGCTGATATGAAGTAGTGCTGGTGGGGAATTGTATAATTATTCTCAATTCATGTTCAGAGCAAAAGAGCTCATTTAAAATTAAACAGAACGTTAGTAATCGCAAATCATAATATTAGTAAACCGGTGTATATTGTGTCCGATTTTGTTTTAAATAAGTCAAGTTTTTGTCTGAACATAAGAAAAATACTTGTACGGGATTTTTTAGGAAATAATAAACT